ACAGGCCCAGAGGGGCTCCCTTACATAAAGGGCCAAAGGAATGGACTAGGAAACAAACAAGCCCTGCTACTCTGCGAGTTAACCATTGAAGACAGAATTTTCCCCCTGACCGCAGGCTCAGGGTGTGATGCCACTCTGAGGGCCTCTTCAACATTATACTGGATCCCTGTCAGCTGGAAAAGGCAAGACAAAGAAAGGGCACACAGGTGAGGGAAAAGAAGGACTGGGTGTGGTGGTGCTCACCTGTGATCCCAGCCCTGGGGAGGCAGGGGCAAGAGGATAAGAGCAATTTCAAGGCCAGCCTGGGCTAATCATGAGTTTGAACACAACAGAATAGAATAGAACAGAACAAAAAGGAAGAGACAAATCTGTTGGAAGTGGTGGTACATTCCTGTAAGCCCAGCATGTGGAAGGCTGAATCAGAGCATCATTGTGAGTTTGAGGCCATCTTGGGCCGTATACTAAATTCAAGGTCAGCCGGGACTATATAGGAAGACCTTGACTCAAAAGATGACAAAAATTAAAAATTTTTACAAACCGCCCTGAACTTCATATGACACTCTGTCTCTAAAAACAAACCAAAAAAACCCCTTTGCAAATGACAAGGTTGGTTACAGATAAGGTGTCATCAAATTATATGTCAATGATTAAAATTTTAAAAATGTATTCTCGGATGGGCTAGGGATTGAGCTCAGTGGTTCCGTTGCCTGCCTCATAAGAGCAAAGTCCCAAGTTCTATCCCTGGTACCAAAAACAAAAAGAAAAAATATATTCTCCTCTAGAATGTTCCCTCTTGCTTCCAATGCATTTACCCCAGTGTTCTGGCCACTTTCTGAAGCAGTTCTGGAAGTCCTCTTTCCTGTCTTGTGATACTGGGGATTGAACTAGGGACCTTGCGCTTTCGAAGCAGGTGATGGAACCACTGAGCCAAATCCTGGGCCCCCTCTTTCCTGTCTTGATAGTGTGATCAAAAATACAGTGACCGCCTGTCCAGATGCCTTCCAATGGGAAGGTAGGCTTGTGTAGACATTACCCTTTGTCCTCATCCACCACATTCACCAGAGCTGGCAACATGCAGCTTCTGGCTCTTCTGCAAAGCCAAAATGATCACGAGAAGTCAAACTTTTAATTGATTTAGGACACAGAGGCAGCCACGACATCACATCTAAAGACACTCACAAAAGGAGACTTCCAGGAAGCTCCAGAATGACGGAATCAGTCTTCTTTTCCTGACTTTCTCCTCCATCCTGACCACCACCTGACATACCATGTACTTTATCTTGCTTACACCCATCTCCCCTGGCTACAAGATAAAGTTCCATGAGGGCAGGACTTTGATTTTTTTCTTTTCTTTTGTACTGACAATCAAACTCAGGACCTTGCACTTGCCAGGCAAGTGCAGTGCCACTGAGGAACATCCCCGGCCCTGATTTTTTTTATTTAGAAAAATGTTTATTGGTATGGTTTAGATATACCTAATGATAACATTCAACGTGGGGAATATGTACCAGTACATGATGTATCCTGCCTCTTCTTTTCTTTCCCATTCCCCCCTTATGTACAATAGTGTTGTGCCCATTTTTTCAATGTTCTCTCTTTTCTTGTCCCTCTTTTCTTTCCCCCTACCTCCTCCCTTGTTCTCCCTCTCATTTAAACATTTTCTTCCCGTTTTCCAATGTCTATTGTAGATTTTAGGACTTTGATTTTTTAAAAATCTGTTTTGCTCACTGTTACATCCCCAGTTCCAAGAAGATGCCTGACACAGATTAGGTGGTCAATAAATAGGTTTGTTTGTTGGTTGGTTTGGTGCTGGGGATAAAACTCAGGACCTTGTGCTTGGTGGGCAGGCGGGGTGCCACTGAGCTAAATCCCTGGCTCCAAAAGTAGGTCTTTTTTTGTTCTTGTTGTTTTTTTTTGTACCAGGGATCGAACTGAGCTCCTTGCACTTGTGCAGCTGGCAGCAAAACCACTGAGCTGAATCTCTGGCCCAAAACATAGGTTTTGAATGAATGAATCCAGGTGACAACGGGAGGGATGACAGGGTGGGGAAGGGGCAGCTGGTGACAGGCAAATCCACACGGAGCCCCTCACCCACTCACCTCGTGCGCGTAGGCCTTGCCAATGCCGCTGGTGGCTCCTGTCACCACTAGGAGAGAGAAGGAAGAGGGCAGGTGGGCGGCTTCCTCCCCGAGGTCCCTGCCTGGGTTCCCTGTCCCAACCCCAGTCCATCCGGGTCCCCCAGGCTCAGGTACCTCCCACCCGGAGGAGCCCCCTGTGCTAGGGCTCGTTACTCTCGCTGTCCCCTCGCATCTGCACACAGCCCCAACCACTGTTTCTGTTTTTTCTCCAGACAGGGTCTCCCTGTGTAGCCTGGCTGGCCTCAGTCTCCCCCCGGTGCTCCCGACTCAGCCTCCCCAGGGCTGGGATCACAGGTCTGCACCAGCGCAACCAGCTGGACCAGTCTCCTACTGCCTGGGAACCCAGGCTTGGCACGTGAAAGCGCTGTTGCACATAGCTGACCAGAGGCGTCCTCCCCTTGTCCCGTCCGTCCACTGGCAGCTCTCTCTCCGCCACCTGCTCCTCTCACCTGTACAGCTCTGCAGACTTAGTGCCCCTCCTGCCCTGGTCGCCCCAGCCTTTTCCTCTCTTGCTGCCACGAGTCCCGTGGCCGCTGCCTGGATGCAGCAGGGGGGACTCTCACCTGTCACCTACACCCGTCACCCTTCACCTGTCCTCGGTCCTGCAGCCCCAACCCCACCGCCTCGGGAGGACCCTGCGCCCCTTACCTGCCCAGGCTCCCTGCGCCCGGAGCCAACGGTTGCCGCGGCGGACCTGGGGCAGCAGGTACAGGTACACTGCGCGGGCCACCCCCCAAGTCGCCCGCAGCAGCAGCCAGGAGGCGGTGATGGCCCCCAGCGTGCTCAGCGCATCCCACCTGGACTCCATCGCAGCTCCTGCCCCGCAGCCTGGGACCCGCACGGAAAGCAGATGGCTGGCAGCGGGAGTAAATGCTGCTCCACTTTTTCTCTGCAGCCTCCCTAAAGCCGGCCATGCCCGGCCACGCCCAGGGGCCAAAGTCCACCCACCCCTAGCTCCGCCCCTTGAGCGGTGGTTTGAGGGGGCGGGACTTGCATGCTGCGTGTTTCTGGGGGTTTCTGGGGCTGTTTGCTTCTGTCCCCCAATCAGCCTACCTGCTGTGGGACCCTGATTTGTTGTTTTGTTATTTCTTGGTTTGGGGTTTTGTTGACACAGTGTAGTTCAGGCTCGCTCTCTTAGTTACTTTGCTCATTGCTGAGGCAAAATACCAGACACCCAGAGTTAAAGGAACAAAGGTGAATTTTGCTCACGGTCCCTGATTGGCACGGTGGCGTGGCAGAGGGGCATCTCAGAGAAGAAACAGTCAATGGTGGGCAGAAGACAGAGAAAGACAAGCAGCAGCCATAAACAACAAGTGACAGGCGACCCTCTTGCTGTCCCTTGTATCTTATCCAGGCCTCCTACCCTTAGGGTGGTAGCACTCACACCCACGGTGGGCACCTCTAATCCTAGCCAGATCTGTGCCAAACCAGCCAGTGGACTAATGTAATACTCACACACTCTGAATCCCGGCATCACACACTCGATCCAGCCACTTCTGAAAAGCCCCACCTGTGACTGCATGAGGGTTTGGGGTGGGGATATCCAGGCCAAGCTGTAACACTGGCCTTGAACTCATTATGCAGCCCAGGCTGGCTCCAAACTCACAGCCATCCTCCTTCCTCAGCCTCCCAAGTGCTGGGATTACAGATGACCACTCCTGGCCAGATCTTCACTTTCTTACACCATCCTTCAGAGTGGCCTTTGAATCACGAATGCTGCCCCTCTGCACCCACTTTGGGGACACCTCTTGCGGTCATAGTGAAAATTTATGCTGAAGTCTAGAAAGGAGCTCTGGGTCTCCCTGAGAAGGTTTACTGGACTGAGCTGCTAGTGGAGTGAGAAGATCCTGTTGGTCAGAGGTCAGAGGACAGAGCCCTTGATTTGGAAAACCTTCCATATGTGAAAAGATTTGACAGAGCTCTCCTCCTAAACAACAGTCTCCTTGGTACAATGGGAAGACTGTCTAGGAAGAGCACACACCCTACAGAGGGAGAGAGGAAGGTGGCAGGTGCGGTGGTACAGGGCTGTGATCCCAGCTAGCCGGGAGGCTGTGGCAGGAGGATGATAAGTTAAAGTCCACCCTGGGGAATTTAGTGAGGTCCTGTGTCAAAATGAAATTTTAAAGGGCTGAGGACATAGCTTCTCACTCCCTGTGTTCAATCCCTAGCACTGTGAAAACAAATTTAAAAATAAGAAAGAAGGGCACAGACATGTACATAACCAGCCTTAGGGACAACCTGTGGGAGGTTAGTAAAAAACAACCAAGGGCCGGGGATTTTGCTCAGTCGATCTCCTGCCTGCCTCTCAAGTGCAAGGACCCGAGTTCGATCCCTGGTACCAAAAATATAAACAACAACCAACCAAATAAAACAGAAATCAGGACCAGAAAATTTCTGATATTCAGTGTGAAGAATAAATAAATGAAAGGTGTAGATCAGCCCTGACTGTCAGCCTAGCAATCCATGCATAGATTCCAGCCCAGCACCGCCCATGGGAGAAGGCACTGAGACTACCATTGCTTGCTGCCGAGTCTACAAAACCAGTAGCCAGTGAGCCCAGCCCCCTCTGCAAATTCGGAGCCTGCCCACTGGGTGCCTCGAGATGTTCACAGGTGATGAGGAAGGCCAGAATGTTGGGAGCTTGTCCTGTACAAAAAAAGAGGAGGGGGAGTAGGCAGGATTGTGGGGGACGGAGGAAGGGGAGCTGGGTGTAGCTCAGACCCAAGGCCCTGGGATTGGGGGGGCCTCTTTTGGGGTGGGGGAGACAAGGTCTCACTATGTAGCTCAGGTTGCCTTTGAACTCACTGTGTAGCTCAGACTGGCCTCGAACTTGCGGCAATCTCTTGCCTCAGCCTCCTGAGTGCTGGGATTATAGGTGAGCACCACCATGCAGGGTAAGAAACAGGTTTAATTTTTGAAAAGTGAACCCAAGATGTAGGTCCTTGTGGCTTGACAGATGTGGGAGTGTTTAAAAGAACTTGGTAGGGGCCCTTCCATTTAGGGAGGGGATGATCTAAAGGTGACTCCATCTTCCAAACCTTAAGTAACACATGATCCTTAGGTTGAATTTTAGGGCCCTGAATTGAATTGAACTAGAGCCTCATGCTGGAAGGGCTTTATGCCCATATTCTAGTACTTCTCCCTCTACCTGAACTAGATTGATGCTGTGTTTTACCATTTTCTGTGTCTTAGGGTCAGTGGCTAGATCCACAGCTAGATGTGGCCTGTCAGACCATTTCCTAAGGGCTTAGCTGGAGAGAGGCTTTAGGAGCAATTTTAAGCCTTAGTAAAGCAATAGGTAACAGTTTTAGCTAAGGCTCTGAGGTTTCTTGGCATAGTTTTCTCAGGGTGGTTTGAACACCTACGTTGGCCCTTTCAACCTTTCCTGACATGCCACCATGGCTAGCTCTAGGCCCTGTGTCTGAAGGTCCCACCACCTGGGGACCAAGCTCCCAGCTCTTGAACCAGGAAAGAATCGCTTCCGGACCATACACCCTCCATCCAGAGCTCCCGACTCAGCCAGCCTCACCTCTATTTCTCAGTGTGCTTTCTTTTATTCTGAGATGGGGTCTTGCTGTGTTGCCTCAGCTGGCTTTGAACTCAGGGCTCAAGTGATTCTCCTGCCTCAGCCTCCCAGGTAGCTGAGACAACAGGCACTGCCACCCAGTCTGGCTTTCTTTTTGATGCATTTATGTCACACTCCACAATTGCTCTTTGCTGTAACAGTCGGGAGAAGGTAATTAATGTGAACTCCCATAACCTGGCACACCCTGGAGTTTCCCTGGAAATGTGCCCAGGTCCTGAACGCAGACTTCCACTCTGCAGCCTTCCCCACGGAGGATTGGACTCCAGCCTCATCTGCAAGCAGACTGCACCCCCAGGCATCGCTCCAAGGCCCTCAGCCTCCTGATCTCAACCTCAATGGCTACAAACAGCTGCTGCCTTAAAACAGGAACTGTCTCAGGCCCCTCCAAAGCCCACTTTAAAATGCCCAGTCTCTAAGAGGCTGAGGCACGAGGAGTGCAAACTTGAACCCAGCCTGGGCAACTTTGTGACTTAGTGAGATCCTGCCTCAAAAGAAAAAGAAAAGAAAGTCTGGGGATGCAGCTCAGTGCAAAGGCCCTGCATTCAATCCCAGTTCCACACCTGGAATGCTTCGAGAGGCGTCGTGGATAAATAAGTCCCTTTGGAATTTCTATTCAGCTGCCAGTGCAGAGAGACTTTTGTCATCTGCCCCTGGCCTGAGTGAATGGCGTGCCAACGTGAGTGAGCCGGTGAGAATACGTGCACGGGGTACATCAGCAGCAGCCAAAGGAAGCAGGGCCTCAAGCCTATAATCTCAGCTGCTCCAGAGGATGAGGCACAAGAGTCACAAGTTCAAGGCTGGCCTGGGCAACTTAGTGACTGAGTGAGATCCTGTCTGTAAATAAACAGATACAGAAGAGAGACCCCTGGAGTCACAGGAGCTGTGCCACCTCTGGAGGCCCAGACACAAGCCCACAGGTGACCTCAAGCCAGTCTAAGGACCCCAGCACAGATAACGCCATGAAGCAGATGGACTTTCCCTAGGGTCTCAGGTCAATACTAATCTCCACCTTCTTTCTTTTTTTTTTACTTTTAAATTATTTTTAATAAACATATTTATAAGCACTTTTTGTAGAAGAATATGATGGAAATGATTTTCTTCAGATCTGCACAAGCTCTTATAATTATAAAGTATGATATCAATGTCCATTTACATTGATATCAATGGAAATGTGTTGTACACTTAAAATGTACCGATAAAAGAATTAAAAAACACCTATCCAACATTCTTTATCCTTATCACTCAGTTTTCAGGATTGAGAGCGTCTGACTATGGACATTGACCCATCTCCATGTTCTTCTTCCTCGGCCTCCACTCTCTAACTCCTCCTCCTGACAGAGGGACAAGGCCAAATTCCTGGCACCTTTCATATGGAAACTTCCCTTTTCTCCCATTGAATGATGGCCTGATTGCAAACTGCATGTCTCCATGTGTCCTATTCTCTCTGATCTTCCACCACGGGTTCACTTTTTTTGGCTGTTTGCTTTTGAGACAGCATCTTGCTGTGTACCCCCAGAATGGCCTTGAACTCAAGATCCTCCTGCCTCGGGCTCCCGAGTGCTGGGATTACAGGTCTGCACCCCCAGGTCTGGCATGGCCTAGCTTTCCACCCTGGTGACCAGCATGGTGATAAGTGGTGCAACCGAGTGGCCCTCACATCCCTGTGGTCTCTGTCAAGCTGTATCTTCTATTAACCTTTCTCGCTACATGCTACCCCTGCTGCAGTAGTTGGTGTTGAACCCCAATGGTGCTCTACACTGAGCTGGGGCCACAGCCCTCCTCTTTTTTTTATAACTTTATTATCCATCACACACACATACAAAAATTAAAACCATTCAAAGAAGAACATTGCAAGGGAAAAAACTACAGTAACATTCAAATACAGTAGATCTTAACCAAAACAAAACTGAAAAGCCATTAAACATTTTTCCATATAACTTAAAAAGGATCTCAAGCACCAATAAGACACCAGAGGATGTGAGTTTGATAGGGAAAAGTTTCAAAATAAGCTTGGTAGATTAGCTATTAAAGCAGTTGTGAAAGCAAAACAGGTAGTGTATCCCTTTAAAAGCTTGCCTTAGCTCCTTGCTTCTTTTGTTTAAAGTGAAGGTTATATAGCTCCTTTGATCTGCAGCTCCACTATAGACAACATCCTAGCTCTGAAGAACAAAGCGGAAATCCGTGAACAAACTTGTGATGTATGTGCCTTAACCGTCAAGTGT